CTCAATGTGAACTGACTTTCAACATCCATTAAAACGTACCTTTAGGATCAGTTGGTTAAATAGAAATAAATAAAAAAAATAGCTCTGAGAAAATCTCTTGCTTTTTTTTTTGTAATCTGATGCAACAGCATTCAGGATGAAATGCAGAAAATTGTTCCACATTCAGTGGAACTGGATTCAGTGAAATGCAAGACATACTATAGTATGGCAATTGTTTAAAAAAATGAAAACTGAGAATTGATCAATGGCCAAGCTTCCCAGTGATGATCAGAAATGTAAACTTTAATAATGAGCATATAATTAAACCGTCAGAACTTTATTCAAACACTGCGCCATGAATCAGACGGTTTATGAGTTACTGAGAGCTTTGTTTGTTGTAATGGAACTTTACCAGGAGGCAATCTGTTGTCACAGCAATCAGCTGCCATGGCTTGAATAAATCATTCTATTCAGCTACAGCTCGTTCTGTTTGATTTGCTTTGACCTAAATAGTACAGCTCACATTGAGGTACAGTTGCCCTTTGTGTGTGTGTCCATCTGTACTTCTCTGAGTTTCTATATAGGAAAAATTAAGCCTGGTGTTTGTATGAGTGAAATAATCAGTTCTAGATGTATATCATGCTCTCAGGAATTGCTAACAATAGTTATTGAAACTATAAAAAGTTATGTAAAAGTTAAACCACACTATTAGTGAATATACTAATATATAAAAAAGTGTTTGTTTTTTTTTGCATATTCTGCTGACATGCTTTTGTTCAGTTTTTTTAACTGTGCAATCAATATTGAAATATGAATCCTTTTCTGCTCTGGTTGAGAGAAGTGGACTTGTTGGAATGAAAACCAAGTCAGTTTCCTCCATCCATTGTGTGATAATTGGCTGAAGTTTAAAAGGGAGCAATCAAATTGACCCAAGAAAGAGTGCTTTTATGGAGGCTTGAGTAATTTACTCTCACAGACTAACTGTTTCCACCATAATCAGCCCACCCTCTTTCTTGAGGCCACGCACCTGTGGAAGACAGAGACATCAGTCCCTGCCCATCCAGGTGTCAGACACACTATTAATACACTTTATAGGCTTCTGTGTTCATATACCACCTCTTGTATGATGAAAAATCAGATCACTATGTCTACAGATACATGAAGATATAGTGTTTTGAAGATTTTGTATAGACTGTCTCAATATCATTTTAAGCCAACAATTAGCACAGGTTAGTTAAAAATGGAAGCAATAGTTGTGTTTGCAATGGATTTGAAACGCATGGAATTTCATGGTAGTTCAAAGTACACTACTCATTACTAAATATCTTCTCATTGACTTTGTAAATTGATTGACAATAGAACAAAGTTAACATGAACAAAGCACAGAGGAGTTAATCCTAATTACAAAATTACAACTACAAAATTACCCAATTACAAAAGTGTCAGTTATTAGTTCCTGACATTGGGAAGGACTTAACACAGATCAAAGAATTTCAGGCCATTGTTATGAGCCCGAAAAAAGTGTACTCTTCCTTCCTGTTAATGCAACACTGGGAGGAACGGTCTTAAAGCTGAAAGTCATTTGCTGCCTTGTTTAGTTCATTTAATTTCAAGGTTGTATTCTAATCATTTAGATTTAAAAGCTGATAGGTTTAGCTTCTAGGTTCTCATAAAATCATAATTTTTGATAGATATGGTTGTGTTCCTTCTGGGATCAAAGCTGGAAGCAGCACCTGACCCCCAGCAATACATAACCCCAACTATCTCCTCTATCTGTCCATCTCACTCTGTGCACTGAAACATGCTGCCCTTTGTCACCTCAGGTGCGAATGACTCTTTGAAGTGTTGTAGAGGTGTTAGTTTATGAGAAACAGTGAAGATTCCTGCCCGGCCTAAATCAGCCTGTCAATCAGCGGCTGCAGGGGAAACAGCAGAGCTCAGTCTGTCATTACACACACACATTTAAAACATCACAACACTTGAGAGCTGAAGACGCCCTAGAGCTTCAGAGAAGAACTGCAGTTAAGGTTGAGTGTTAATCGTTGCATTGTTTTCGGGAAAATGACTGTTTGTGTGAACTGGTTGTTAGGAAAAGTGACGTCCTGAAGCATAGTTATCATGTCAAATCTTTAGCCATCTGTTTATCTACTTGCCCGTAGTTGATTATTATACTGGTGATTATACCTTCCTTCAGTGTTGCCAAGTCCGTGGTTATCCCGCAGAATTGGGATACTTCACCACTGTTGCTGCTGGTTGTTTTTCATGTCTGTGGGTTAAAGCGACCCCCAGAACGCAATTTTCACTTGAGGACACCCCTCGAAATGTGATTTTGGGCTAGTTTTGAGTAGCGATTGGGCGGCTTTAGTTGTGAAAACCTGGCAACCCTGCCTTCCTTTACTCTCCTAATGTGTAAGGGGAAAAGCAGGTTGATACTGTATATTAGTTTGTAATGTTTCATACCTAGAATTTTACTTTCCAGCTGGGACTTGTGACAGTTTCCTTGACTGAACTTGATTAAACTAAAAAAATGTCTTCAACCGTTAATACTGACACCTCTGGAGGCCTATAAGTGATATTGTTGCATGTTTCTTTCAGCATATATGTTATCAGCATTGCTCAAGAGCAGCAGCTGGGGGCCCCGTCATCTTCAGGCTGTCAGTCATCTGCTGTTATGAAGGTGGAGGGTCATTGGCGCCACCTTATCAGATCAGAATCTGACTTTGTATTAGTGAATGTTCTGACACCAAACTCCTTGAGGGCTTCTTCTTATTACAAGTCTTTTTTCTTGCATGACCCAATAATATGCACACTACAATTCAGAAGTTTGGGGTATGTACAGTTTTTAACGTTTTTTTTTTAAACTAGGAAATATTATAATTTAAAATAACTCTTTTTTTATTTTAATATATATTAAAATGCCGTTTATTCCTGTGATTGCAAAGCTGAATTTTCAGCATTATTAGTTCAGTCTTCAGTGTCATATGATCCTTCAGAAATCATTCTAATATGCTGATTTAATGCTCAAGAAACATACATCAATGTAAAAAATAAATAAAATAAAAATTCTGTGGAAACCATGATATATTTAGTTTGTTTGACAGTGTTTTAGTGCCATTATCTGCCATATTAAAAATTTATCAGATTAAATTAAAGTCATAATGTTTTGAGAAAAAAGTAAATTACAAGAAAGTCAGCAATACGAGAATAAAGTCGAAATATTTCGAGAATAAAGTCAAAATATTTTGAGAAAAAAAGTCATAATTACGAGAATTAAGTCATACAATTACGAGATTAAAGTTATAATATTTTGAGTTTAGCTTATAGAAAGTTTAAATGAACAGATATATTTAAAAAATAATCTTTTGTAACATTTTGAAAGTCAATAAAAGAGTCTTATCCTTTTGATCAATTTCATTCAATGTAATTTATAATCCTTGGTGAATAAAAGTATTAATTTCTGTTAAAGAAAAATCTTACTGACCCAAAACATTTTGATAACGCATTCTTGCTTTCTGATAAAAAAAATAAAAAAAGATTTAATGTAAAAAGTGAAGATTCAGAAGACTGAGTTTTTGGTTAATATTTATTTGCCCAGTGCATTTAATGATTGTTCCTCTGAAGGAGACAGAAATTCACAAATATTGTACTTTTTAGTGTTTTTGGCACTGGGCACACATCAGCCACTTTTACATTGTGTGTTGTAAACTAAAAAAACTTACACACACAAAAGGGTGCTGTTCCTCTCACTGGAAGTCTCTTAGTGAGACAAAACACATGCATTTGCCCACTCACAACACCAAACACACAAACATGCAAGGGATTGATCACTCAGACCAGCATTGCTGTGTCAGTGCATCCAGTCGCCTGGCAACATGTTAAAAGGAGTGAAGTGCATTGACGGGACACAATAGTCTTGGCCAGAGTTTGCTGGCTGATGTTTTATGGCTGACCAAACATTCCTTGCCGCTCTTGCTCCACTCCAAAAACTTGAGAGTGTTTACTCACAATACTTTCTTTGAAATCATTTTGTGATCCGGCATCTTTTCAGATGGAGACTGATTTAGGTCTGCAAACATTGATAATAAAATTCAGTGTTTTACAACCTGTAAAAGATTATATAATGTTTTAGATCGCTTTGACGATATTTAATATTTTGCTTTTTAGTTTATACTAAAAAGTCCAGAAAAATCTTCAGTCCAGTGGTCAATGAATGACCATTTAACTGCTGGGAGCTGTTGTTTCTTGAGCTAATATTGGCAGTCCCACCCAGTGGTGTAATTTGTCTCACAGTCTCTGCTTAGGAGCATGAATTAAATGTTGACACAGTGATTTCATGCACACACAGGCGTTTGTCTGCATGGGTCGAGCAGAGAGTCTCCCCTGCACCTGCTGCTGCTTTCAGTTACATGCCATGCTGATTATACGGCTTAGCTCAAATATTCTTGCACTGTGAATCCTGTGCAAGAGTCATTGTCAGGAGAGAAATCGGGCACACAACAGTGCTGTATTTTTTAGGCTCATTAATTTTTATTCATATAAAGATTTGTGTTTTAAAAGATTCTTTGAATCTAAATATATTGGATAAATAAGGAGGTTATTGAAGGGTGGTAACCGCTGTTTTGGTTAAACAGGTCTTTAAAGACTTATGAACACAGTTTGTGTGCTTGATTTTCACTCTCCAGGCTCCACAGCTTGTTGATTTATGGCCATATAAATATCCCTGCCATCCCCTGCCTGAGCATGTTCAGGTATTTTGCTCATAAATATGCACGCCCCAAATTAAAAACGTCACAGAGAGAAATAAATAAGGCTATTTAGCTTACTGCGGGCAAAATTTCCCTCCAAATAAGTTCTGTGAGTTGATTTCAAGCTTGATGACATTAGTTTTTCTACAGTGATTATAAATAAGTTTCGGATAAGATAGTTTGTATACTGTCAAATTTTTTTTTGTCTTGCCTTATGGTCGGTGCCAGTAAATCAGGGTGGATGTGTAAGGAAAGTTTGAAGTCCTTCTTAAAGTTTTAAGTGACCTCTTGACAGTGCACGGCGACCGAATGGAGCAGCGAGGTCGTGCTCGGTGTGGCGGGGCTGCTCTGGCTGGGAGACGTCGGGCTGAGGGACTGTGGAGAGCCGCAGAGGAACGCTGGAAGGTGCGCATGCAGCGCCGGGATGGACGCGGCCGAAGCTGGAGCGGGTTTGATTGGCACAGGGATCGCCGGTAAACTTTGCGCGCCATGACTCAGGGATTTGAGTGGTACTCCATAGGCAGTATACTCAGCATCTATCATATTACCGCCATACATGTGGGGCCATGCCGTGGTCAACTGATTGTGTATCTGATAACCCGTAGACATGGATTGCATGGTGGAGAAAGCAAGGCTTCCTGGCATTTTGTAATCTCTGGCAATGATGTTTTCAATGGCAAAGGGGTGTTTGAAGGTGGAGGGCTGAGACACACTTAAGTTGTAGCTGGTCATCTGAGGTAGATGTGTCCCTAAAGCGGTCATTCTGAGTTTTGCTTGTTGCTGGAGGTAATGCGACGCGTTTGGGCGTTTTTGCAGGTGCTCGGAGGTAATCATCACTTTGAATCTCTTGCGGCGTCTCAAGAAGCTCCCGTTTTCAAACATGTCACCGCAGGTGGGATGGAGAGCCCAGAAGCTGCCTTTCCCCGGCTGGTCCGGTCTCCGCGGGATCTTGATGAAGCAGTCGTTGAAGGAAAGATTGTGGCGAAGGGAGTTTTGCCAGCGCTGTGTGTTTTCCCGATAATAAGGAAACCTGTCCATGATGAACTTGTAAATTTCGCTGAGAGGGAGCATCTTCTCCGGGCAACCTTGAATGGCCATCGCGGTCAGCGAAATATACGAATACGGCGGCTTCTGATCGCTGTACGTGTTTCTTCCAGGACGAGGCATTTTCCCCAGTGAATTACCTTGAGTTCAGTGATGAATATCTTCAAAACACTCCGAGTATGTTGAAAGTCTTACACTGATCCGAAGTGAAAAGTCAGACATCTTAATAATGCAGGTGCTTCAGTTGTCACTCACTTAATATCCATTCTTGTCAAAAGTTTTCAGCAAGTTAGGCCTATGCAGTGCGTTTCATTCGTTTGTTTTAGGAGTTTGTGAACTGCTGTCCATGTAACTTCAGCACAGAATCCAAATCTCAAAGTCTTCTCTCATGGTGTCTGTGAGCGTCTGTCCCCCTTTTTCTGTGTCTCCTCAAGAGCCCTCTGTGTTGTCACATGACAATCTTCCTCAAAAGGAGGGGCACGCGCACTGTCTTCTAAACAGTTTTCATTTACACTTCTTTCACGCGACCCGCTGCCAATAATATTCATCTCTGCCTGAGAATACTGCGCTGCAAGAGGCGACTGCGTGTGAGATTATGGCATCTTGTGCACGTGAACTCTGTAAACATACACAGAAGATGGACTGCCAGTCATTTAAGGAAAAACTAAATAAGCCTGTCTTCTTAGTAGACCTCACGTAGGCTATAGATTTAAATCATAGCTGCTTCTCTGCTTAAGGCGTCTTTGAGGTGACTTTTTTTGTCCGCTCAGCAACCATAATTCAAATCTGATCGATATTATACTCCCAAGTTAGTTCTGAAGCATACCTTTTCAATTTTTTCTTTTTATTTCCATGAAAATATTTTCCTGATTAGACTCCTAATTAACTTTTAAAATAGGATACATAGTAATTTATTAGGCTATATTTACTTTATACTGCGATTACAAAATGTTTCCAGCTATTATGTTCTTGTTGCAACATCTTTATTTTCATCCATTTAATTTCTGTCATTTCTACTCAATTGTCTTCACAATAGATGTAGTGTTGCGACTTCGTAACGCTGGCATCCGTTTTGTTTTACTTAAACTTTAAGACACCAATTAAATATTTGACTTTTAATTAGCTGTTTATTTCGAGTGCAATGTTCTGTAGCCTATAATAACTGCGTTTCTTTAGGAGGTCTGATAGCCTGCTTGACTGTGTTTATGTCATTCTTTTACTAGCCCTATGCAAAGCTGGACAATCACAGACCACACGCAGACAGCTTCCCATTCACACTGCTGAAGAACGGAATTCATGTGCATATAAGCGCAATTGCGATAAATGCTGGATATAGCTTCTATATATTTTTTTTTAAATAACTGAACGCGTTTATATTCAAAATGAGTTTGAATTAAATCCATAAATTCCTTGACATTTATTCTCAGAGTGAAGTTTTATTAATTAAAGTAATTGCGAAGTAATTTAGAACGTCGGCGTGAGGAGGATCATTGCTACATATTTCATAACTATTTACTGTTAATAAATTTTTTTATAATTAATAAATTCTATTAGCCTACTTAATGACTTCTAACAGATGGAAATGCATTTTATTTTAGGCTATTAATGTACGAATTAACAACATTAGAGGTTAGAGGTTAATTAAAGGAATTAATTTTATTCAGATCATCAATAAAATCGAAGAATATGTTTTTATGACATGTAAACAAATTGTTTGATTGCCATGCATATAGAGAGAGTTGTTTCTAATTTTTATACTATTGTATATTTTATTGTAAATCTTCACCGATAAATATAGGCTAGTAGTGTCCGGGATATACAGAATGTATAGTCTTGGAGAAGTGCTGGCATATGGAATGAGTGTGTGTAAACTGATGAGGTCCCACAGGAGGACTGTCATAATTGGTTTGAGGAGGGGTGATGTCAAGGGCCTTTGATTGGAGGATGAACTTATAAACCATAGAGTTCTTTTATGTTTTTATAATAGCACACTTAATTTGAGAAAGATTTCTAAAGACCCCATAAAATATGAAAAGACATTTAAAACGCACAGTTGTAATAACAACACTAATTCTATAAATATTTTATGCATAATAAAAAATAATCGTAAAATATTTTCAAACCTCAAATTACTTTGTAACTGATTAACATTAAAAAGTAAAGGTCATTAGCTCAAATTAAGTCAACTTAGTGAGCCTATAGCTTTAATACACAAGTGAATATTGAATCTGTACTATTGTCTTTTATTGTTGTCATCAATACATTTGGAAAGGCATAAACAGCTGGAGGAAGGAAGCATTGAATTATACAGAATGTACCAGCATTCTCGGACCTAACTGCACCTGATGGAGTGCCCATGTATATGGCTGTGTGTGTGTGTGTGTGTGTGCGCGCACGTTTTTGTGACATATGAGGACACAAATTTGTATAATGACGGTATGACACAGGTATTACAAGGATAAGGTGACTTATGAGGAAGGAAGCATTGAATTATACAGAATGTACCAGCATTCTCGGACCTAACTGCACCTGATGGAGTGCCCATGTATATGGCTGTGTGTGTGTGTGTGTGTGTGCGCGCACGTTTTTGTGACATATGAGGACACAAATTTGTATAATGACGGTATGACACAGGTATTACAAGGAGAAGGTGACTTATGAGGACATTACCCCATGTCCCCATTTTTCAAAACGCTTATAAATCATACAGTGTGAGTTTTGAGAAAGTAAAAATGCAGAAAGTTTCCTGTAAGGGGTTGGGTTAGGTGTAGGGTTGGTGTAGGGCAATAGCACATACAGTTTGTACAGTATAAAAACCATTACGCCTATGGAGAGACCCCACAATTCACAAAAACAAACCTGTGTGTGTGTGTGTGTGTGTGTGTGTGTGTGTGTGTGTGTGTGAAAGTGTGTAGATGCTGCAGTTAACCCTTGACCACTACAGCACAGGGTAAGACTGGGAGCAGGTTGATGCTGTATGCCGTGATGAATGATATTTAGTCTAATGGAGAACATATGACGCATCTGTGTCTGATAGATGAGACTGGCCTGTAAATACAGCCCACTGATGACACCATGTTGTCTCATCCTCAGCCAGCTCAGAGCTTCAGTTATTCTTTATTATAGCTTTTTGTGCTCGGTTTTGTGTTTGTATTCTGTTCTTTACTGCATTTACTGGTCTTTTGCTATATATTTTTTAATTTCATGATCTGAAAGTTCTGGTAAAACTTTTTTTTAAGAATTAAAGAGTGAACTGACTTACAATACCAATTCCTATTCACAACTTACAGTATTAATGCTTTTATATAAGAGCTTGATGGGGCAGCAATGACAGGTCACCAAGAGTTCAATGGCTGTCAGCATTACAGCAACCAGGCCTCACCTACAGCATAGGGCAACAATTTTTAGTATAAGAATGACAACAGTCCTGATACAGGGTTGACAGGTTAGTGTTGTGAGGTGAAAGATTCCTGTAATAAGTGGCTGAGGATATGTAAAAATAAACTACTGTTCAAAGATTTGATGTCTGCATGATTTTTTTTTTTTAATTTGAAAGAAAGGCTCACCAAGGCTGCATTTATTTGTTAAAAAAACGGTAGTGTGGAATATTATTACAATTAAAAATAATTGTTTTCCTTTTTAAAATGTAATTTATTCCTGTGATGGCAAAGATACATTTGAAACTGAAATGAACAACGAAAAAGTCTTTATTGAAAATTTATGGACCCCAAATTTTTGAACTGTGTTTGAAGAAGCTCCTCCTTGATTTTGTACTTTATAAAAATAATAGGCCATTAATGTTTTGTTTGTTTGTTTGTTTGTTTTTTGACAGACCTAAGATCATCAGAGTAGCTTTCTTTTTTTTTAAAAGGCCCCGTGTAGACCAAAATCTGGGATTTTCTATTAAATATTTGGATTTAAGATTTGTGTGCCTGCTGTCAGTGAGATCATAGATGCTTTTGTCATTTAAAATGAAAGCACTGAGTTGTCATTTGCCTTCAAGTACAGCTCAGAGTTATTGTAATTCGATTTTAAAGTGGATTATTGACCTCTCAGCCTCTTATTTTGTTCTCAAGAGACACAGAACATACTCTCCATGGTGTTTGTTTCTGCCCTCTTGTTTATTAATGCTCAAGTGTGTATGTATGAATGCATCTATGCGCATACGTTACGCTCTCTGATAGGAGTCTGCTCTGAAGTGTGATGGCTAATGATGAGCATGTTTCATGCAAGGATGCAGCTCTTCCTCCTCTTAAGACGGCTGTGCATTCCTGGTCCTTTTGCAGAAACATCTTCTCTCAGATGGTAATGAGACCAGAGGAAGTATTGCGCCACTGTGTGCACCCTCTCAAATGCAGTGGTAATGCGTGACCATGCAAAGGTTTTTCATTACAAAGAGCCTCGTCCTGATTTTTGCCATTGTGACATTTCATTCTGTCATTTTTGGCAGATGCTATTGTTGTTTTTGTTAAACTAAAACTATTAAAAATTGATTTCATTAGCTCAAATGAAATAAAATAAAATAAAATATAAATACTTAAACTAAAAATGTTGAAGTAAGCTTAAGTGCTAACATTTCTACAATTATAATAAATTGAAATAGAAAAAGCTAAATATAATAAAATGACAAAAGCAAATAACAAATATTAAAATTAATTCAAATGAAAACTGAAAATATGAAAATAAAAGCTAATTAAAAATATAAATGCTAAGTAATAATGAAAAAATCTGACAAATCTGAAAAATGTTTTGGCACATGATTTCATTTCATTAAATAATTAAAATCTTGATATTGGTCTCTTTTCGAGGTCACATAAACTTTCTGTATTTCAGCTACTGAAACAATTATGAGGTTGCATATTTGTCCACATTACCCTTTTCTGTCATTTATCTTCTTAGGTTTAAAATGTTTTAACAATTGGACATTTATTTAAAAACTAAATGAATTCATACAATATTGAGTGTAATTTATTTGTATTGGTAAATAGAGATACATTGTGCTGACTAGAAGCAGTTGTGAATGCAGTATAAAGTAAAGCAGCAATACAACAGTTCTTTAATTGTCACCCTCCCTTCTACTCAGAGGGCATCATGAATATTTAATAAATAATTAGCAACACCAT